CGGGATTGTGTGGTGCGTCTTCTTCCTGAAACAAGTTGTCTGATGAAGGTGCCAGTCTGCCGAAATCTTTGAATGGTGCGAGAAACCGTACTCTGTATCGCGCCAAGAACACGAGCAACATAACGAGTGCTACGTCCATCTTCCACCAAAGCCACTGCCTGAGCAACATCTGCAAGACTTAAAGGCATTTCTTGTTTAGCAACAGTGTACGACGTTAACGACACTAAACGTCACCGAAATGTTTTCGTCAATTTCCATGACTTGCTTTAATTTCTGATGGCGCTGCCGAACAAGCTGCGTTATCTTTTAGAGCATGTAACTTTGGTGTTAATAACAATAGAAACTTGAACAAAAAACATAAGTGATCAGAACAGTCGAGACTACAAGCCCCTTATGATTAAAATTATTTTCTTTGATCGGTGCACCCCACAGCAAGTTTCAAAATGTAGGAAGAAAACACGCATTAGCGTTATTCACCATTGCTGAAATTAAAGAGCGCCAAAATGGGGAAGCGCCTACAGAAATATTGGCAAAGGGTAAACCTTCCAAATAAAAAAATCTTATTCAAATCGAGGAATACGTTTAAAACTTATTACAGTTTGAAACCGGTCATGATTTTAGGTGATGCGTTTTTTATACCACTGAGTGTAGATACTAATATAGAAGACAATATATTGTCAGCAGGAGACCAGATACTGCAGATAAATGACTTGATACAACTGTCAGAAAACTAGATACTACTAAAAGAATACTAGAAAATACTATTAACTTAAAATTTTGTTACGTTCCCTACTACAACATGAAAAGAAGTGTAGAATTCGGGTTGGGTTGGTAGTCGTCTTAAGAGACGTGTTTAATTCTAGTTGTAATTGTTATTCAGCGCTGGATTGTTGTATATGTTTATTGAATGAAAAGTAGGCTAACACTAGACCGAGAACTAGAAACATTCGGATTTAGCCGCACGTCTCTCAAGACGGTTAAACCCGAATGATTCTAGTTCTAGGTCTTTTGTTAGTTCTAGTGATTGTGTTAGTGTAAAACTAGAACTAACACTAGACCTAGAAAGTATCGGCTATGCCGTGCTTCTGAACACGCACGGCTATACCGTTCGTTCTAGTTCAATAGAAATAATTAACATAGCGCTACTTACCACTGTGACTAGAACTAACACTAAATCTAGAAACATTCGGGTTTAGCCGCACGTATCTTAAGACTACTAAACCCGACTTCTATACTTCTTTTCATGTTGTGATAGGGAACGTAACAAAATTTTAAGATAATAATATTTTCTAGTCTTCTTTTAGCAGTATCTAGTTTTCTAACAGCTGTATCGAGTCATTTGTCTGCAGTATCTGGTCTCCTGCTGATAGTATATTGTCTTCTATATTAGTATCTATTTCTTTCCAAACAGTTTTCATCTTCTGAAAGCATTGTCTAGTCGCCTACAAACAATATTTAATCTCCTATAAGTAGTGTTTAGTCTCCTGTATGCAGCATTAAGTTCTGCGAGTAGTATCTAATCTCCTAAAAGCAGTATTAACTAAGCATATTATCTCTTGCCAGCAGAACATAGTCTCCTGCGAGCAGTATCTAGTCTCCTGCGAGCAGTATCTAGTCTCCTGCAAACAGTACTTAGTTTCCTATAAGCACTATCTGCTCCCATACAAGCACTATTAACTCTTGCGAGTTATCCAGTCTTCCCTAAATAGTATTAACTCCTGTGAGCAGTATATCGTCTCCTGCTAAGTATCTAATCTCATAAAAGCAGTATCTTCTCTCATACATGCAGTATTAACTCCTGCCAGCAGTACGTAGTCCCCTGCGAGCAGTATCTAGTTTCATGCAAATAATATTTGGTTTCATTTAATCACCTGTAAATTATATTTAATCACTAACAAACAATTTAACTTCTCTAGCTTTTCCTATGGAAAAATTTTTTTAATTAAGGTAGAGAAATCAAGATTTTTTACAATTTCATTTTCGATAACATTACATAGCGAAACTAGGTCTCTTACGTCTTGTTTCCGATATTGTTGGTCACACCTTATTAATTTTCATTTGGAAAAACTGCGTTCTCCAGTTGCAACTAGTATTGTTAGCAGGATAGGCAGAGTAATCCAGGTGTTAGGGAACAACTCTTAATGTGAGTGTTTTTTAATCAAATTCAAAACTTAGGTAGGGGTAATCTTTCAGGTAATGTTGCAGACTCAACATTTCGTCACACAATAAGTCTCTGCACTTTTTGTAGTGCAGAACAATGATTTAACAGTTGTTCTTTATTTTGCTTTTCTTTTATGTCAAAAAAAATTTAAAAAAGTTTTAGAAAAATTAACAATATTTTTACGCATTTTTGCAATATGAACGAAGTATATTGGGTGATTGACTTGCTTTGGTCACAACTTTGATTTGAGCTAGACGATGTAGCGAAAATGCATTTGTTCTCTGTATTTTGTAAAAGGTTTAAGATATTTTTCAAAAAATTAAACGTTTTTCAGAACAGCTCGACAAAATAATTATGGCAGCTACTTGCTTGCGCAACTTTTTAAGAAATGATTCTTGACAACCTGATGAACTACAGCAAACAGAAGTGCCACAAGGTTTAGATCGTATTAGAAATATGAAAGGCAAAGGTACTCGTGATGCAATAAATGTTGGAGATAAATTATCAGAATATTTCAGTACGCGTGAAGGACTTGATCCTTGGCAAAATTAACGGATTAAAGGACAGAAACGGAAATAAGGTTACAATACAATTTACTTACCCGGTAGTTTTATTTCCCTAGAAATTTTTTCTTACGCATTTTCTTTCATTTCTTGGTTGTGATAATTTTTATCACTATCACTAGACCGAGAACTAGAAAGTATTGGGTTTAGCTGTGCGTCTAAAGAATAAAGCGTCAATAGGAATAATGAACATAGTGATATTTACTGCTATCTAGCGTTACTTAGCACTGGGACTAGAACTAACACAAGACATAGAACTAGAATCATTCGGTTTTGCCGTCTTGAAAGACGTGCGGCTTAACCCGAATATTTCTAGTTCTAGATCAAGTGTTAGTTCTAGATTTGCACTAGCACTATCACTAGAACTAACATTAGACCCAGAACTAGAAACATTCGGGTTTAGTCGCACGTCTTTCAAGACGGCTAAATCCGAATGATTCTAGTTCTAGGTCTTCTGTTAGTTCTAGTGACAGTGGTAGGTAGCGCTAGTTACCATAAGATATCAGTATGTTGCATATTTTATTCGCATTTAGCCGATTTAAAAGACGTACGGCTAAATCCAAATGTTTCTAGTTCTCGGTCTGGTATTAGTTCTAGATTTAATGAACATAGTACGCGTTACTTAGCACTGGAACTAGAACTAACACAAGACCTAGAATTAGAATCACTCGGCTTTAGCCGTCTTGAAAGACATGCGGCTAAATCCGAATGTTTCTAGGTCTCGGTCTAGTATTAGTTCTAGAAATAATGAACATAGTGATATCTAGTGCTAACTACCGCTACTTAGGACTGTGAGTAAAATTAACAATAGACCTAGAACTTCATTTGGTTTTAGAAGCACATCTTTCAAGACGGCTAAACCCGAATGATTCTATTTCTAGGTCTTGTGTTAGTTCTAGTCCCAGTGCCAAGTAGCGCTAGACAGCACTAAATATCACTATGTTCATTATTTCTAGAAGTAAAACTAGAAGTAAAACTAGAACTAATACTAGACCGAGAACTAGAAACATTCGGATTTAGCCGCACGTCTTTCAAGACGGCTAAAGCCGAATGATTCTAATTCTACGTCTTGTGTTAGTTCTAGTCTCAGTGCTAAGTAACGCTAGATAGCACTAAATATCACTATGTTCATTAAATCTAGAACTAATAGCAGACCGAGAACTAGAAACATTCGGATTTAGCCGTACGTCTTTCAAGACGGCTAAAACCGAATGATTCTAGTTTTAGGTCTTTCGTTAGTTCTGGTGATAGTGCTAGCGCAAAACAAGATCTAACACTAGATCGAAAACTAGAAACATTCGAATTTAGCTGCACGTCTTTCAAGACTATAGTGGTAGGTAGCGCTAGTTAGCATAAGATATCACTATGTTGGATATTTTTATTGCACTAAAACATTCGGATTTAGCCGCACGTCTCTAAAGTGGAAATAGTGATAATGCTAGTGGAAAACTAGAACTAACACAAGACCTAGAACTAGAATCATTCGGGTTTAGCCGTCTTGAGAAACGTGCGGCTAAATCCGAATGTTTCTAGTTCTAGGTCTAGTGTTAGTTCTAGTTTTAATTGTTATTTAACGTTAGATTGTTAAATATTTTTATTGAACTAAAAGTGGAACTAACAATAGACTTAGAACTAGAAACATTTAGGTGCAACCGTCTTAAGAAACACACGGCTAATAATTTTTCATATAACGAACAATTTGTTGAAATTATTCAATGTAATATTGGATTATGTAAGATTGTATCGTTTAAAAAAATGTTTGCTTATTTTGAGTATTGAAATACGGTCCTGCAAGTTTAAAAAACGAAGTATTCGTGCCGTGGGGCGTGTGGGGGGCGCGTTGATAATAATAACAAGTTACAACTTGTAGGTATCACGCGGTAATCCGTTGCCGACGGACCACCTGCGCTCGTACCGGTCCAATTTCGCAGCTCACTACTGTTTCCCATGTCGATAAAATTTATTTTTATACTCTTAATTGACTCTCGGGGACTCCCCTCGGACCCCCCTCCCGTGATCGCCACAATTTTTTCTTCTTCTCCTCTACCTCTTCTTCTGCTTCTTTTCCTTTCGACCACCTATACACTTCTTCGGCACCATCCAGTTACTCTTCTCCCGTGAGAATCTTTTACTTTACTTTGTTACCGTTATTTCATCTTTATCCTTTTCTTTACTATCTTATCCATAATAAAAAAATTAATCAATCATATTCAAAAATCAACTCAAAATAATAATTTCGAAGATGTTTTTTTGATTTCATTATCGTTTTTTTTTAGGTTTACCGCCAATCCCTACAGAAATCCGAGTCCGAGAAAAACGTCGAAGAAAAGCAGCGATAATCGAATGGTCAAAACCGCACTTTAACGATTTCAACGTAATTTATATTTTACAAGAACGTCATTACACCGGAAAACATCTCCAAGCTGATCACATGACTGAATGGTCGGCTTGTATGAAAGCTAGAAGAGCTAGGATCCGTTTTTCAGTAAAACCAGGAACTTGGTACAATTTTCGAATAGCAGCCGTAAACGAAAACGGAACAAGAGGATTTTCACATATGTCACTTAATTTTATTTATTCAGCTGGTAAAAATTATTTGGGTAATTAATTAATAATTGAGGTAAAAATTGTTTTAGATCCAAAACCGCCAAAAGAACCCACCGATGTTCAAGTAGGTCCTTTATGGCTTCAAAACGGATCTTTAAATACAGAGTTAATATGGTCGCCACCACATTCCGATTTACCAATACAAAGATATAGTGTTTTTTGGAGTCGAAGGTTAATGGGAGTTACGGACTCCGTTTTGGTGCGACAACAATACGTTCCAAAGGTTATTAAATATTTTTATTTATTATAATTGATTAAAATTTTAAATAATTAATGACTACATTCGCAAGCAACAGTAACCGTAACAATTTCAGAAATCCATTCTTCTTTTAAACTAGCTGGAAGACTACTGTTAGAGCTTTCATCTTCGCTAATTTTCTTCTTTAAAACTTTAACTTTATAAGGTGTTGGTTTACATTTATATGGTCCCATCCAGCAACTTTCGCCTTTACAAAGTGCTGTTAACAAATATCTTGGGTAATAGTGAGAACCTAAGTCCATAATTCCTTGTTCTAATCCGCAAGAACAAGTTGGTAAATACGAAGATGGGGCCTTCTTGTATTTCTTAATTCCGGTTGAAACGACTTTTTGATTTCTTCGGATGATATCGAAGAAGTCGTAGTTTGGAGAACATTTTCCGTCTTTACAATGTAATTTAAAAGTATCTTTCGGTTCCGTTTCGATGAAATCTTTTGTGAATTCATCCCAACTATCGGGATAAATTTTCGAGGTTGAGAAATGGAATAAAAGTAAATACAAAGATAACTACAAAAAAAAATTAGTAAGAATTAAGCTAATTAATTTAACTTACTTTTAAAATTAGAAGTTCTACTTTCATCTTGTTTAGGTGGTGTTTAAGATCACACTGAATTTTCTTTGGGAAAAGAAGGGTTTATATACTTAATAAGAGACAAAACATGTCAATTCGGGGCTTTATGTAACAATATTCTATTCACGTCGGGTTTTCCTTGGGGGAAATCCATTAAAATATTATGTTTCAAGGTGTTAACGTTTTTCTCTATTTTTATTATTTCGGTAAAAGTTTTAATTATTTATCGCTAAATTTCTATTTTTATAAACACATTTATTTTTTTATTTAGGATCAAACAAGATTCTTATTACAAGGATTACAACCGAACTCCTCTTATTTCTTACAAATTCAAGCAATAGCTTATTATGGTAAACAAAAACTTAGGGGAAGAAAATCTGGGTTAGTACTCAACACGACTATTTTAGCAAATGGTACGTAATTTGTTTTTAATTTTTAAATAAATAATAATTTAATTATTTTAAGTAACTGAAGATGATTATTATAAATACCAACAAAATAATTTTGGGTTAAACGTAAAAAAACCTTATTGGAAAGATGGGGATTTAAGGACGAGAATAGTATGGAAGAAAAATAGTTCAAAATATAATATAACGTGGTCGAACGTTTCTTGTAATGACCGAGATGTTGAAGTTATGAAATTAAATGATATAACAACGGTAAGTAATTAATAAATATAACAATTAAATTATCATGAATTCTTATTATAATGGAACATCTAAACTCTATCTAATCTCAAGGTATAGGTATAATATAAATGATATCGTGCTTAACGATGAAATGTTTTTATTTTTTGGTTTCGACCGGTTTCGGCTTATATTGCCATCTTCAGGAAACCACGTTATTGCAATTTATTATTAAAGATGGCAATATAAACCGAAACCGGTCGAAACCAAAAAATAAAATTAATAATAAATGTTTTATTGTTTTTTATATTTACAATTTTTCCCTTTTCTAATACCGGGTGTCCGCCGGGAAGGTATACTACTTTGTTTTGCCGCTTTTTGGTAAACATTACTCTTGACAGTTCATATTTGGCTGTCGTGAAGTAGAGACGTGGCAAATTTATTATGGAAAAATATTCGGTAAACCAACGTGTTTTAATCGTTAAAACATTTTATCAAAATGAATCATCGATTACTGTGACGATGAGAAAGTTACGTGACATTTTTGGGAGAAACAACGTGCCAACAAGACGCACTATTTATCTAATAGGTCCAAGCATGGACCAGAACGTACTGCAAGATCGGCTGAAAATATTACTGCTGCTCAAGAAAGTGTTCAAAACAATCCATCAACCTCAATTCGACGCCGTGCTCAGGAGTTTGGTCTTCAAAGAACAACTTTGGCCACAATTTTGCACAAGGATTTGTATTTGTTTTCATTTAAGATTCACTTGATACAAGAGCTTCTTCCAGAGGACCATTTACGCCGCCGTACATATGCCAATAGGATGTTACAGCTCGCCCATGACACCCCGATTTTCATGAAAAAATCATAATGAGTGACGAGGCACATTTTCATTTGAATGGATATGTGAATAAACAGAATAGTCGGCTCTGGGCAATGGAAAACCCTCAAATTATTCATCAGTCACCTTTGCATCCATTAAAAGTGACAGTCTGGTGTGCAATTTGGTCAGGAGGAATCATTGGACCTTACTTCTTTGAAACTGAAAACGGCGTAACGGTAACTGTCAATGGGGAGCGATATCGGGATATGATTGAGAACTTTTTAACGCCACAACTGCATGCTTTGGGCTTGATATCAACAAGACGGTGCCACATCGCATACAGCCATGATTACAATGGAATTACTGCGAGACCTCTTTCCACAACAAATTATTTCAAGAAATGGTGATGTTGATTGGCCTCCACGGTCGCCTGATTTGACTACTCCGGACTTCTTTTTGTGGGGATATCTGAAAAGCAAGTTTTATGCAAACAAACCAGAAACGCTGAAGCAACTCAAACAAAATATTCGTGATGAAATTAATGAAATACCGCGTGAAATGTGTGAGAATGTAATGAAAAACGTGCTCAAAACGGCTCACATTTGTGAGGCATGTATGAGATATTGTATTCCATACATAATTGCCGACATTAAATAAAACATTTATCTATATAAGATCCATTCTCTTTCATTTAATCAAAAATTATAAACAAACAAAGTAGTATACCTTCCCGGCGGACACCTGTATAATGCAATATAATATACAGGGTGTTCCGGTGACTCGGGGCATAAAAATAACCTCATATACTAGAGCAAAAATGATGATGATTCGTGAAAAAAAATTATTATAAAAGTCTTCAAATGGCCAAGATATGGGTCATCAAAGTTCAGAAATTTTAACACATTTTTCTAAATATTTTCAATACCATTTATTATAGAGCGTTGAAATTTGGTACAGGGTAAACAAATATCAAGCAAAATCATTGAACCAATTTTGACTTTGATCGGGCGGCAACAACCATGCTATACAGGCTGTCCCTAAAATTTGTTTGCTCAGAACTTTTTTGTTCACTCGTAACCCTACATTTATTTTTGTACTTTGTAATAGAAAATTTATTTTAGAAACTTTTATCACTCTTTGAAAATTTTGATAACATTGACCGTTTTTGAGTTATACGCGAAAATGTTAAGCTTTGATTTCAATCGTAACAAACAAAAAAAGGAAACATATTCCGCAAGATCTGAATTGGCGATGACAATTGAAAAACGAACTGAGCTAATAACCATTATTTGCATAAATTTCTATGTGCAGATTTAGTTAAATCCAGTGTTAATTAATTTTACTTGAATAAAAGAATGTAATCTCCAAAACAATAAATTTAATTTTCACGGTAACAACAAACAAGAACATAACAAAAATTCTAACAAAAATATTAACAAGAACAATAAAATTATAAACAAATAGTAATAAATAAAAAAGAAGAAAAAAATACTAAAGCAGATATTCAAAAACACTGCCTGATATCGCCGTCTTAAATGAAAGCGCACTCTGCGGAGAACATTGATCTCAGTTCGAAGTTGATCAAATGAATCAACAATTCGCAACCTCAGTTGATCAACTGAAGTTATTTCAACGCAGTAAACTAGCGATTTAACGCGTCCCCATAAATAAAAATCTACAGGTGTAAGAGCCGGCGATCCACCGTCCAAACGTTCCTTCAGAAATTGTTGGACAGCCTGTGTGCTATGCGCAGGAGCACCATCATGCATATACCACATTGCTTGCCTTGTGTTTAAAAGAACGCCATCTAAAAAATCATCTAATTCTTCTAAATGTCGCCTGTATGTACGTCCATCCAACCTTGATGGCAAGAAAACGGGCCCAATAATTACATCGCCCACAATACCAGCCCAAACGTTAAGAGAAAATCTCCATCGCCCAACTATGTAAATTTCTCAAATTGATGGTTCCATCTTTAGAAAAAGTGGATTCATCTGCAAAAAGTACTTTTTCTAAAAACTGATCATCAATTTGGATTTTGTGCTGCATTATTTAGCAATATGCCAAATGCGCAGACTGGCCAATTGCCCACTGCAACTGCAATATGCAGTCGCAGTGGGTAATCAGCCAGTCGAACTTCCTGAACTTTGTAACAATGAAATGGATAAAGCTGTTGCTCGTGAAGAACACGCCAGACAGTTGTTTTTGAAGTTAAAACATGCCTCGCTATATCTAAAGTACTAGCTGTAGTATTTTCTTCTACGTAGTCTAGAATATCTTCTTCTAGTTCGGGCTGATCTTACGTTACCGTTGTTAGTAAATTTCGGCTTAAACGTCCTATTTTCCCTTAAACGGGTTTCAATCCTTAAAAATGTTTTTTGATTGGGCGCTCTGCGGTTCGGAAATTTCTCCCGACCATTCCCCTAATGTCAAAATCATGTCAGTTTGTTCACTAAATGTGTAACTCTCCATTTTGAACACTAAAAATTAATAAAAACTTAACTAACAAAAAACTATCGTTTGTGTTTAAACGACATAAGCAAGTTAACAGCAAGTTGTTTTCTTTAATTGCCATGGCCAACCTTGACTTTTTCGAAGACTTTGTTTTTTAGTGATACCATTGAAATCGAAGCTTAATATTTTCGCGTATAACTCGAAAACGGTCAATGTTATCAAAATTTTCAAAGAGTGATAAAAGTTTCTAAAATAAATTTTCTATTAAAAAGTACAAAAATAAATGTAGGGTTACGAGCGAACAAAAAAGTTCTGAGCAAACAAATTTTAGGGACAGCCTCCTGTATAGCATGGTTGCCGCCGTCCGATCAAAGTCAAAATTGGTTCAATAATTTTGCTTGATATTTGTTTACCCTCTACCAGATTTCAACGCTCCACCATAAATGGTATTGAAAATATTTAGAAAAATGTGTTAAAATTTCTGAACTTTGATGGCCCATATCTTGGCCATTTGAAAACTTTTATAATAATTTTTTTTCACGAATCATCATCATTTTTGCTCTACTATATGAGGTTAATTTTATGCTCCGAGTCACCGGAACACCTGTATATTATATTGTTCGTTTTTTTTTCATGTTTAGTATAGAGATCTTGAAAACTAGCGGAGATAGAAAGACGATTAAATAGGGAATGAATTGCAGTTTCATGAACTCAATTTAATGAGCTTTTTGTTTTTTGGATAAAATGCATGGCTAACTAGATATCTCGAAAAAACCGTTTTTTTGTTATATCGTTCGATACCTATGGTCCCGCTATTATCTGATACTACTATTGTACAAACTTGAGCATGTCTTCTGATTTGCTCAAGATAGCGTTGCCGTTTATTCTCTTTTTTAATGATTTTCCAAGGTATTTGGGCGGGGACGTGAAATGTTTGTTTTATGCGGATGACGCAACGCTGCTTCGAGCGGGTTGCTGATGGCAGCAAATGAGTGGTGTGCTGCCAATGAACTTTGCTTAAATAAAGAAAAGGGAGTCCAATCACTGTGCAGTCTTAGACACCATCATCTAAAGGAGTTCCACGGATTTGAATTTTGTGGCTCACACGACGGAGATAGGAAAAAAGATAGCCCGAAACATTTTCTTATTACGCAGATTGGTTGGTTCGGTGTTTGCTGAGGTAGCCAGAACTGGTTATTTCGCATTGATTCACTCAATTATAGGTTATTGTATAATTTCTGGGGGGAAGCACAGCTAGCTCCCACATATTTGGTCTACAGCGCAGAGCTTTGAGGGTGATTTCAGGGCTAAGTTATAGAGATGATTGCCGACACGTCTTCAGACAGCTGAAAGTTTTGACGGTACCATCTGTGTTTATTTTGGAATGACTTTTATACATTTACAAGAACACAAACAAATGCTGACCTGCACAATTATGAGACGTGAAACTGCGGAAATATTTACGTTGACCTTTATCAACTGAGTGTAACGCAAAAAAGCTATAGCAGTATATGCTCAGGTCTTATATAATAAATTGCCCTCGGAAACTAGAACACTCCAGAAAAATAAATTTTTAAATGTCATGAGGGAGTTTTTGCTAAGAAATGCGTTCTACTCAGTCGATGAATATCTAAGTAGCAGTGTTACTATGTAATTTAAAATTATAGTTGTGTGTTGAACTGGTTATGACACAAACTTGAATTTTTTTAATGGAAGTCATAGTTGGCCACGACTTTATGAAAAATGCCTTTTCTCAATGATTCTAATGATATACCACTTGACATCGATATTTTTATTAATAAATAAATTATAGCCATTTATAACAACATAACATAGTAGAACATTATAACTGTTCAGGTAGTATGCTCTGGAAACAATTGATAGCTACGTTTGGTTATGACAGCTTAAGACAAACGTATGTTTCGTTTAGTTTCTAATTAACGTTGATTGAGGTTTTGTAAATTATAACCAACATGAATTTTTCTAATCAATAAAAGCGTGATATCATTGAGTGTTACATTTTATGCTATAAAAATGCAATACAAGCTGCAGAACAGTATTTTGATCGTCACCAGCCTTCTCTACCTATTTTGAAGAGGCTGATAATTTGCTCAGGATACTTAACCAATAAAATAAGTATAGTAACTAAATGCTGACCTGGCACATAACTCAAAAATTATTGCTTAAATAAAATAATCAGTTGACTGTTTTATTAAACATGCAATACCCTACAAATTTTTCCTTTACACATTTTTCCTAAAATCAATAATAGCCGAGCCATAGGTATCTAACGATACATAAGAAAAACGGATTTTTCGAGATATCTAGTTAGCCATGCATTTCATCCAAAAAACAAAAAGCTCATTAAATTGAGTTCATGAAACTGCAATTCTTTCCCTATTTAATCGTCTCACTATCTCCGCTAGTTTTCGAGATCTCCATACTAAACATGGAAAAAACTCACCTGTATACAGGGCGCGTCATATGTAACCCTCCCTGTCTAATTTGAAAACAGCTAAAGATATCGTCATGATCCGAAACGTCGATTTTTATTTTATGTTAACCCAAATAATTTAGCATAAAAAATTGTTGATCATTTTATAGTTTTTCCGGAAAATGAGTCCATTTTTGTGTTGTTGTGGTCGAATTTGGAAAGGGGCAGACGTTTGGCACCTGGTATCTTCAGTGCGTTGTCGTACTATCGGCAGACTTCGCAAGGTCTACGATGTGGCTGGGTAAATCTTCGTTCTCTCTGATCTGTTTGAGGGCCTCTTCGATAGGGATACTGGGATACATATAGGGACTTGACATCAAAGCTCGCAATGATGTCGCTCTCTTCAAGTTGAACGTTGTCCAACATTTGCGTGAAATGTTCAGAGTTTCGTACGTAGGAGTCGGCTTGCTCTGTAATGGGTCGCATGATCTTGGCTTTCAACTTTTTGTAGCGGTGAGTTGAAGACGCTGATAATGGGTCGAAGTGGAACATCCGCCTTGTGGATTTTGAGCAGACCATAGAGTTTGGGCCATCTGTTTGATTTTTTCCGAGGGGTTAGGTTTTCTTGATCTCGGGGTCTATTGGAGATACCTCTATTTTCGATTTGGTAGTTTTTTCCAGGTAAGTTGTACGGCTTCTTGCTGCTGGTTTGTAAGTTGTGTCATTGCGCATATCCGTGATCTTGTTCTTATAGTCCACTGAATCCATAACCACTGTGGTGTTGCCTTTGTCCACCGGTAATATGATGATGTCCTGGTTATTTTTAAGACATTTTAGAGCTTGGAGTTTACTTGGAACCAAGTTGGGCTTGGGTGGTTTGGCTAGACGTAGGATCCTGGAGATGCTCATTCTCAGAATTTCGGCTTTTTGCTTGTTCATTGTAGTTAAGCTGGATTCGACGTTGGCAATGATTTTTTCGACCGGAATTGTCCTGGGGGTTAGGGAGTAGTTGAAACCTTTGCTTAAGACGGTTTTTCGGCATCGGAAAGATTATGGACAATTTTCTGGATGTGAAGAGGTGGATGCTTCGATTTTTCGGTGGATTCCGAATGTCGTTTGGAGTTTTATGGCTTTTCTTCCTCGTTTGGCGAATTTCCTCTCTGAGAAGGGAGTTGCTGGCTCGTCTGAGGATGGTTTGAGTTTGTCGGGATCTGGTGTGGTGAGCTAGTCTGGTGAAGGTCGGCTGTAAGTCATTGTCACGACATCATTTTACGAAAGTCAAATAGCAAAGTAAGTTGGTTTTCTTTTCACATAGTCTTTCGAAGAGTCTGGTTTTTCTGTAGGTTTCTTCCCCGTAGAGGTGTATAATGTAGTGCTTCATTCATGGATGGAGAAGTATGTGTTGTTGTGGCCGATCTGAGATTTCATCCGTTCTTCCTGTTGGTTCCCTATGGAAAGGGGCAGACGTTTCACCAAGATCTCACCTGGCATTTTCAGTGCGTTGTCGTAGTCTCGGAAATCCGTGAAGCACTACGCATTACTATATATATTTCGAGCATCCGACGACGTTGTCCGATCTTGCCACTCGCTTTCATTGAGATTCCTGTCACTCATCGTTCTGAACAGCATATTAAATAAAGTTACTTGGTGGAAAATGTACCCAGGACATTTAACCAATAAAAAGGAAACTTAGATGGGCTCAACCAAGTCACACAATATCATAAGGAATAGTCAAGTGCAACTTCCGCCTAAAAATTGCTGTCACAGACTCCCCTGTTATGACTCTACTCGCAAGTACTGACACAATAAGTATCGTATCAGCATCATACTAATCAGTACTCATCCATTTGAGTTTTAGAACTGTCAGAAATTTACGCAATTTTAACATACTCAATTTTCTTCTAAGATATTTTCTTTCCTTTCTAAGATACTCTATAGTGACAATATAGAGTACTCCCATGAAGTGTTACAGTAAAGGTGTGAAGAAACTTTATTAAGATATGAGAACGTTATCGGTGCACCCAATTGATTATAAACATTATGCAACGGTGTTTTAATTAATTAAAAGCAATCTTGTCCAACTTAGTAAATTTGCAAAAATCCTGAGTAATGTTAAAAAAGATAAACATCCCGTAGATTATGACAAATAATTTGAAAACATTGATTTCCTAATATTATTTAAATTTAAGATAGTTTTAATTCTTAATCATTTTAATTTCTATTTTTTAGGAATCAAAATACGAAGTTCATAGTTTAAAATTTGGATGTCGATACAAAGTAACATTAAGAGAATTTTCAAGAACAAAAACATCTCACGATACAACGGTAACGTTTGCAACCCCATTATGTTTAGAGTTACGTAAGAATAACAAACACGTTCGATGTCATAATCTTTGAATGTTATATAATTTTTAAATTGTATTATGGATGTTGGTTATAGTTAAAATGATTAATAAAAGAGGTTTTATTTATTGAAAAAACTGTTTTTTTGGTGAGAAAAGGATTTTTAGGATGACGTGAAACGGTTTTTTTTAAAAATTTCTTTTTGGATATTTTTAAAAAGTTTTTTTCTTTTTATTATTAGAAAAAGACACGAAAATACAACACGATTAACACGATCGTAGATGACATAGAAAAATACAAAAAGAAAACTTAGCTCAGTCTCACTCAGTTAAAAAATTCCTTAAACCTATTAACACGCGACTATCTTTAAAAAATACTAAATAAATTACTTAGAACTTAAGATTCTTGTTTACTAAACTACATTTTTTTTTTAAATTAAAGAAATTAGATGTATAGGAACAATCAAAGTTGAAAAAAAAAATTAAAATTATATTGTTATCAAACATTGATAAACATCTTTGTTTTTTGAAAAGGATTAAAAAAATATATCACAAGAAAGTACATAAAAAATTCCTAGTTTTAAATTAAACTCAGCTTTAGACCGAAGATTGAGGAAATAAAAAAATTAACGTGTATCCATAGAAATATAAAGGTTACTTATAAAAAGTAGCTACAACACTAATAATAAGTCTTATGGAATAATACTTTTTTGTTCATTTTTAGTTTTATTTCCTTACCTTGAGCACTGGGAGTTAGTTTCTTTTTGTCGGAAGACAAACTTGGAAGAGAATATTTATTTTGGGAATGTCTCGTTATATCTCCTTACTTTAAAATCTTATAAAAAAACTTAGTTAATAGGTTTACCAAGCTTACTTAGTTAATACTATCAAATTAACTCGAATGACTTATAGAGTTAAAAAAGAATTAAAAACTACAAAGATGATATATTTTAATAAATAATTAACCTTTCAATACTTTCTGGTTCAAAGTTTAGTGATATTTCTATTTTTAATTGTTATTTAGCACTAGATTGTTATAAAACTAGAACTAACACTAAATCTAGAACTAGAAACATTCGGGTTTAGCCGCCTTGAAAGACGTGCGGCTAAATCCGAATGTTTCTAGTTCTCGGTCTAGTGTTAGTTTTGCACTAACACTATCACTAGAACTAACACAAGACCTAGAATCATTCGGGTTTAGCCGTCTTTAGAGACGTGCGGCTAAACCCAAACGATTCTAGTTCTAGTGTTAGTTCTAGTTTTAATTGTTATGCAGCGCTAGACCAAGAACTATAATCATTCGGGTTTAGCCGTCCTGAAAGACGTGCGGCTAAATCCAAATGATTTCTAGTTCTCGGTCTAGTGATAGTTCTAATATTGCACTAGCACTATCACTAGAACTAACATTAGACCTAGAACTAGAAACATTCGGATTTAGCCGCACGTCTCTCAAGACGGCTAAATCCGAATGATTCTAATTCTAGGTCTTGTGTTAGTTCTAGTGACAGTTGTAGGTAGCGCTAGTTAGCATAAGATATCACTATGTTGCATATTTGTATTAGATTAAAACTAGAACTAACACTAGACCTAGAACTAGATAGTATCGGGTTTAGCCGTGCGTTTAAAGGCGTCTAGAATATTTCTAGTTCTAGTGTTAGTTCTAGTTTTATACTAGTACTATCACTAAAACTAACACAACACCTAGAACTAGAATCATTCGGGTTTGGCCGTCTTTAGAGACGTGTGGATAACCCGAACGATTCTAGTTCTAGGTCTAGTGTTAGTTCTAGTTTTAATTCTTATGCAGCGCTTGACCAAGAACTAGAATCATTCGGGTTTAGCCGTCTTTAGAGACGTGCGGCTAAATCCGAATGTATCTAGTTGTAGGTCTGATGTTAATTCTAGTGATAGTGCTAGTGCAATACTAGAACTAACACTAGACCGTGAACTAGAAACATTCAGATTTAGCCGCACGTCTTTAAAGACGGCTAAATCCGATTGATTCTAGTTTTAGGTCTTGTGTTACTTCTAGTGACAGTGGTAGGTAGCGCTAGTTAGCATAAGATATATGTTGCATATTTTTATTGTACTAAAACTAGAACTAACACTAGACGCACGGCTAAACCTGAATATTTCTAGTTCTAGGTCTAGTGTTAGTTCTAGTTTTAATTGTTATGCAGCGCTAGGCCAAGAACTAGAATCACTGTGTTGCATATTCTTATTGCACTAAAACTAACACTAGACCTAGAACTAGAAACATTCTAGTTCTAGTCTTACTTCTAGTTTTAATTGTTATTCAGCGTTAGATTATTGAATATTTTTATTGAACTAAAAGTGGAACTAACACTAAACCTAGAACTAAAACTAGAAAGTTTCAGGCATATACTGAAAGGTTAATGTAGTTTAAAATTCAATTTAGAAACTCCTAAAATAAAAAAAAAAGATGGCACAATTTCATTTTTTGATTAAAAACCTCATTTTAATCCTTAAATTTTAAAATTTTTAATTCATTGTGTTTGCGGAGGTAATTGGTTTTGATTAAGCGCTTCCAAAAAATGCGGAGCAATATCATTGACCATAACCGCAACGTTTCCGGTTGTCGTATTAACCGGTTGCGTTACGTTCGGGAAAAACGGCAAAATAATCGTGTTATTCACATTATTGATATTCGAAAAATCTATGCCGGGATTAAACATGTATTTATCTTCAATAATCGGATATTGCATAAACGTTTGTTGAAGTATCAACTCTTCCGTTTTACTCAAAACTAAATCCGACGTCAATTCCGTTTGTGCGTCAACCGGAACGACAACCGAATTTAAATCTTGAGGTAAACAACAAGATTGAGGATCGTTAACGTTTTCGATTTGAGTTGAAATATTTTCGACACGGTTATTTTGGGTTATAATCGGGAGTTGTTCGTCCGATTTTTTTATTGTGTTCGTTTCGGGAGTTTCTAAATTTTTACCGGTTTTATGATCGACTTTGTGCCTTCTTCTGATATGTTTTAACCAATTTGGGTAATTAGTGAACGTTCTTTCGCAATATTTACAAACGTAGGGTCTCTCACCTGTATGGACGTTATAATGTTGCTTTAATTTAGTACTGCTTAAAAACCCTTTGTTACAATAAGTACAAATAAAAGGACGTTCTTCAGCGTGAACCATACTGTGTACTTTTAAACAACGCTCGGTTTTATACATTTTATTACAAACCTCGCATTTAAAAGGGCGTTGATCGCTGTGGAAACTGTAGTGGCGAGCTAAATGAGATTTCTCAGCGAAGCTGTATTTATAAAAAAATAATTAATTTTTAAATCTTTTTTGTTTAAAATGTTATTCATAATTAATTGTTTTACTTACGTTTTTCCGCATTTATCACATCGATGAGGTTTATCTCCTGTGTGTTGTTTGGCGTGTTGTTGCATATTAACTTTTTGGGTAAAAGTTTTTCCACAAACATCGCACATAAATCGTCGTCCCAATCGATGCACATTCATATGTGATGTAAGCCCCCCTCGTGTGTGTAAAACTTTTCCGCAAACAACGCAGGGATAATCCTCTTTAATTTCGCTTTGGTGTTTCCTTAAATGCATTTTCAACCCAGCTTGAGTCATAAAGTTTTTTCCGCACTCTTCGCATGAGAACGGCTTAACTTTGCCATGTTTACTAATAATGTGGACTTGTAGAAGACTTTGTAGGCAAAAAGCTTTGGTACATTTTGTACATCTAATAAAAAAAATTATTTTTTAGGTTAATGAGAAAATTGGGGGGAAAGTGTATTTACTTGTGTCTTCCTTCGGTGATATGGCGATAACAATGAGAACGAAATGTGCTGTATTTTTCGATGGTTTTATTGCAAAAAGCGCAGGTGTAAACGGGGGTTATGTTGTAAGTTGAGGTGTAATGTTCGTCGAATTCTGCTCTGTATGGGAAAACTTTTTCGCACATGTTGCATTTAACACCCCAATGGGAGCGGAATTCTTCTTTTACGTTGTCGATCATTTCCAAGCTTTCATCACCTATAAAACATTATTTCTACGTAGATTAAATTGTATTAATTTCAACATGGATTTAACATGGCGCAGAGCGGTGCGATAAAAAGTGTAATAAAAATGTACGGACTGGATTAAAGTGCATAAAATGTGGTGGTCTATCCCATCATAGTTGTGTGAAATATTTAAAACCGGTTGAAATAATTGACGAAACAACGATAAATTGCTGTGAGACTCACGAGGAAGAAATAAAATCAGACGACGACCTCGAGTTGTTTTTTGGCAGTGCTGTGGATGTCGAGGAGATCGGTGGTAAAGACATAATACACTTGAAGGATTTATTAAAACATAAGGACTATATAATTGGACCGCGTTATGCTTATCACTTGACTAAGCGACAAATGAACAATGTTGAGAAAAACGGGATATCCGTTTTCATCTCTCTAAAAATATGACTTCTCAGAATCGACAGGCTCAAACTATTGAAAATTGTTTGGTGCCTATCTATTTTTATCACAGAACACTGATGACAGCCATTACAAGCACAGAATCCGCTTGGTTAGTTGTTTTACGATTATACACGCTGTTTCTGTAAGTCGTGGCATAAATTTAATCACAAATACTAGAGTGAAAATGATGTTTCGTGTAAAAATTTTTGAAGAAAATTATCTAGAGTTTGATTTTGGACTTTTCACCTGGTTTCTATTTTATATAGAATTTAAGTCTAACTAGTTTCGGCCCTTGGCCACCTTCAGAGACTCTACAAATAGATTAACATCCTTCATCCTATCCATTTTACAAACAAGTTTCTTAATATTTCTTTTTCTTTTGTAAAAAAGATCACACAGCTAAGTCGAAATCAGATTATTAGTTGCTAATTTACAAAATTAAAGTTTAAAAAGTTGTAAAATGAAATTAAGGACGAAGTGTTACAAATTTACAGATTAAAATTTAAGAATGCTCTTTTTTAACAAAAGAAATATTATGAAACTTGGGAAAAATTCAAGAACCATCATGTGGCTTAAAAATCGATGATTTTTATTTAATCAATGTGAAATGACCCAAAAAAACGCGTTAAAAATGAAAAGAAAGTGGTGAAAAGTGACTAGATTAACTTCAATTATAAAACTTCTATAATATGATAACTAACTTCAGGTTTAAAATGTCAACCTCAATTTTGACATACAGGGTGTATCTGAATGACGTGCCCAAACTTCAGGGGGTAATTCTTTAGGCAATTTTAAGAGTATTTTCTCATATAAACTATCAGCGATTTCGACTCCCCTGCGGAACTACACCCCTTCAAAAATGGCGAAAAATTTTGGTTTATTTTATTTTTCCCGAAAACCATTAACACCAAGAAAATGAAATTTGGGAAATATGTTTAGCTTATAATAGGGCATGTTTCGAGCCTATTTGTACTTTCAATCTTCCCTTCTAAGTTACTAAACATAACCACCCCCGTTCAATTTTTGTCTAGATCTTTTTTATGGCGATGATAAATACATTGGAAATATTTTATTTAGATAGACGAAAATATTCTAAAACTTTTTTGCCTCTCTGATGTTCTTCGAAAAGTTAATAGTTTCTGAGAAAAAAATTAATTAAGCAAACACTAACTGTTAAGCTGTAGCGTTGTTAATCGAAAGTTGGAATGAATTTTTAAAGAAAAAATCTTAGCAGGCTTAGCAATCTTTGTCAGAAATATTTTTGACGTTTAAATGTCAGTGGTTTTCTTACTATTATTATTGTTTTATTTAAAATTTTGAAACGTCGAGTGAACGAGCGTAAATGCGGTAGAACTTTATTCATAAATTAATTTGAAAAACAATAATAATAGTAAGAAAACCACTGACATTTAAACGTCAAAAATATTTCTGACAAAGATTGCAAAGCCTACTAAGATTTTTTCATTAAAAATTCATTCCAACTTTTGATCGACAACCCCGTTGTTGAACGGGCAGTGTTTGCTTTATTATTTTTTTTCTCAAAAATTAGTCGTTTTTGGAAAAATTTTAGAGAGACAAAAAAGTTTTAGGATACTTTCATCTACCTATGTAATTTTTTTTTAATGTATTTACCCTCTGCATAAAAAAATTTTAGCAAAAATGTAAAGGGGGTGGTTACGTTTAGTAGTTTAGAAGGATAGGTTGAAAGTACAAATAGGGTGAAAACGTGCCCTACAACCAGTTAAACATATTCCCCAAATTTCGTTGTCCTAGCGTTTATGGTTTTTGAGAAAAAAAAATTAAACCCAAATTTTTCGCCATTTTTGGAGGGGTGTAGCTCCTTAGGGGAGCCCAAGTCGCCCATGGTTTATACAGGGTGTCACACCAAAAACGCCCCAAGCTGTAACTCTGTCATTTACAGTCCGATTTTCATAAGTGAGGTAACAAATGAAATGGTTTGATGAATACTATGATGCATGCTACAAATAAATTTTTTCCAAGACCATCTTCAATTTTAAACGATTATTAACTTTTGTTTTTCAAATTGCTCCATATATTTTTCTTCACGTCATTGGATGGAGATTGTTTTTCTGAATCCATTGATATACAATACATCCATTTTGAAAGTAATTTTAGCAAAGAAAAGACACCTGTATATACAGGTTATCACACAAGAACGCCGCAAGCTGTAACTTTGTCATTTACCTTCTGATTTTCATGAACGAGGTATCAAATGAAATGGTTTGATGAATACTATGATTCATGCTACAAATAAACTTTTTCCAGCGCTATCTTTAATTTCAAGCGATTATCAACTTTTGATTTTCAAACTGCTCGGTATGTTTTTCTACACGTTATTGTATAGAGATTTTTTTTCTGAACCCAATGATGTACAATACATTAACATTAATTGTAATTTTAGCAGAGGAAAACAATTAAAACATTTTCCGAACATTGTCTTAGTCACTTCTGTAATACTGTGTGCCATGGAAGAAAGAACGCGCAAAACTGATAATAGTCATTAAATGTTATTTCAATGCCCGAAGCAGTTGTAAATGATACTTATAAGTTGTTTTTTTATTTTTTTTCCCATGGCACACTACAGTATAACGCAAGTAACTTTAAGAGAATGTTAGGAAACTATTTTAATGTTTTTCTATACTACAATTACAATTAATGTTCATGTATTGTACATCAATGGACTCAGAAAAGGAATCTTTACCCAATAGCGTGAAAAAAAACATACCGAGCAATTTGAAAATCAAAAGTTGGTAATCGTTTGAAATTCAAGATGGCGTTGGAAAAAGTCTATTTGTAGCATGAATCATAGTATTCATCAAACCTTTTCATTTGATATTTCGCTCATGAAAATCGGAATTTAAATGACAGAGTTACAGCTTATGGCATTCTTGTGTGACAACCTGTATATACAGGTGTCTTTTTTCTGCTAAAACTACATTTAAAACGGATGTATTATACATCAATGGATTCAGAAAGACAATCTCTATCCAATGACGTGAAGAAAAATATACGCAGCAATTTGAAAAACAAAAGTTAGTAATTACTTGAAATTGAAGATGGCGTTGTAAAAAATTTATTTGTAGCATGAATCATAGTATTTATAAAACCATTTTATTTGATATCTGGGTGATGAAAATCGGAATGTAAATAACAGAGTTACAGGTTGGGGCGTTTTTTGTGTGACACCCTGTATATCAAAGTACCCTTAAAATTGCCTAAAGAATCACCCCCTGAAGTTTAGGCATGTCATTCAGGAGAAGATTACAAATTCACACCCTGTATTTGTAATCTTCATTAAAAATCCTTTAAAATGAGTAGAAACGCGACATATTTATCTTCAATATTAATGAAGTTATGGTCAACTTCCGGTTAAGAATGTCAACGTCAATTTTGACATATTTGTAATCGTTGTGAAATATCCTTTAAAATGAGTCCAAACATGATACGTTTAATTCTAATATTACTCGTGATTTTGACATATTCTTAATTTTTATAAAATGTCTTAATATTAGTCACAAAAATCTAAAATTATGGTTGGTATTAATATTTAAAAATTAAATTGCTATATTCATTGTTGCTAACTTCGGGTTTAATGTTTTTTATTCTAACTTTTTTGTTTTTTTGAGATAAGTCCGTCATCTTTGGACTCATTTTAAAGGTTTTTTAATGAAGATGACAAATCTGTCAAAATTGACGGTGACGTTTCAAACCGGAAGTGATTGTATCTCCATTAATATCAAAGTTAAATATGTCGAGTTTGGACTCATTTTAAATGATTTTTATGAAGTTGACAAATATGTCAAAATTAATAGTTGAAAGTTCGAACTTTTTGGTTTTTTGAGAGAAATGCGTCGTGTTTGGACTCTCTTTAAAGGTTATTTTATAAAGATTCCGACTATAATAATAAAATTAAAGTTGACATTGACAACTGAAAGTTTTTTTCACGACTAAACCCGAATGTTTCTAGTTCTCGTTCTTGTTTTAGTTCAATAAAAATATACAACATAGTAATATCTTATGATAACTAGCGCTATCTACCACTGCCACTAGAACTATCACTAAACCGAGAACTAGAAACATTCGAATTTACTCCCACGTCTCTCAAGACGGCTAAACCCGAATGATTCTAGTTCTAGGTCTGGTGTTAGTTCTAGTGTAAAACTAGAACTAACACTAGACCTAGAATTAGAAAGTATTTACTAGAATATTTCTAGTTCTAGGTGTAGTGTTAGTTCTAGTTTTAGTGCAATAAAAATATGCAACAGAGTGATATCTTATGCTAACTAGCGCTACCTACCGCTGTCGTTTGTAAAAATAACTTAAATTCTATATAAAATAAAAGACATAAACTTTTAATTTTATACTAACATCTAGAAAACAATACTGGTCCGAAATTGTAGGTTCATCTATATTTTCTATTGTAGAATTTCTTGGTGTATCCAAGTGTCATATCTAAGTCGGTTCTTAGACGTATGATGCAAATCGGACTTGCAATCGTATAACGTGATTGGCGCTTAGCTTTATCCTTTAAAACAAATGGTATTTTAGGTCTTTCGG